TTTTTTTTTTTTTGACAGCTACAAAAATTGTCAAAATTCTATTGCACATTACAACATTTCACCTAATCAAAAAAAAAAGGAGGAGGAATTATTTCAACGTTAATCTAAAGATGATAAAAAAATTTTGTTTGCTGCTTATGCAGATTATTGTTGCTTAAAACAAAATTGAATTAGATTAATGGCAAAAAAAAAGTAACTGTTTCTAATTTGATAATTCTTAAATTGTGCAATTTTTTATAGGGTTTAATTTGAAAATACACTTATCGATGTAAAAATTTTTCATTTCTCATATTTTAATCTTTAGTTTGAATTTTTTTTTTAGCTGCTGAAAAAAATTTGATAGTAAAATGTTCTGAAGTATTGTCTGACTGCCTGAAAGCTGAGTTATTTTTTTTGTCAAATAAATTCCACTGTAAAGGCGTAATCTGCAAAAATTAATTTAAAAAAAAACTTGAAAGAATGTTTCTGAAGAGTTATATCTCTGCTTATAGAATTGGCAAAAAATGATAACATTTTCGTTGTTAAATTAATTGATGATTATATAAAAAAGCAGAAAAAAAAAAAAAGGAAAAAAAGTTAATAATTTTTAAGGTTTTTGAACATATAAATACAAAATTTCAATGATATATTTTCAGTAATCAAACTTTATAATTTGTTATAGTTGTCAAGAAATTATTTTATTGCAAAAAAGGTTGCCCAAAACTTTGCTGAAGCATAGAAAAAAAAAAATAGATTCTATGATACAAAAAGAAGAAAGAACAGATTATAAACATAGTCAAAAAGAAGTCTTCAAATCATTTTGCATACACTTCAACAGATTTATTTTTTTCAGTTAAAAAACGAGAAATTATCAATAAAAAGGGTGAAAAATAGATAGCTAAATTAAACTTTTTTTTTTTGCTGTCCATCAGATTGTAAACTTAAGTTTAGACTAAACACAGTAATTGTGGTTTCTAACTGCCCCGTTTTGATACTGTTTGCCAACTTTAGTTCTGCCTCAATTGACCATAAATTTAATCTTAGCTTCAGCTAATTTTGTCTTCATTCTTATTCTTATTCTTCAGTTTGAAATTAAATACTAAAAATACAGAATGCTACTGGATTTTTTTTTTGGCTAAAAGCTGCACCCAAAAATTGAATAAATTTTTTTTTTTTACAGTAGTCTGTCTGTCGGATGAAACATCAAAATAGTGTAAGCATCTGAATGTGTGTTGATCAGATTAAACAATCTGATGCTTTTTTGCAGATGATTAGGATTGTTCATTTTGCAAATTTAAAGTTTCGGTTTGTAGCACTACAGTTTAAACAGGTTTTTATGCTTTAAAAAAAGCATCAAAACTTGCTTTTTTTTTGTAAAAACTGTGGTAGTCAGATGTATGTTTTTGGTAATTTATTGAAAAGGTTTTTTTTAAGCATACGAATTCGAAGTTTGAAAAACTTGTTTAGGTATCATATAAGGCAACTATAATAACTGTATTTACATAGTAACACTGTTGTTCACTGATTCACTGTAATAATTTTAAGTCATCTGCATTATTATTATTATTATCAACTTTTTTTTAAAACGATCAGCAATTTCATTGATAATTTAAATTACAAAAATAAAATTTTTTATATCTAATAATCCTATAAAGTACTTAAAGTTAAGTATTTAAAAAAAAAAAAACAATAAAAAAGTAAAAATTTTGTATGGTTAAGTAGCTTAAAAAAGCAAAAAAAAGATAACAGAATATTTAGTTGAATCATTCAAAATTGGAATTTTAATCTGCTTCTGTCTAATGAACTATTACAGTGCTAAACAAACATTCTATTTGCCAAGATTTAAGCATCATTATAAGATTGCACTTAGTCTTTTAGAAACTATCTAATTTTATAGTCTTAAAATACTAAGTCTTGCAATTTTAAAGAAATTATTTAGAATTTTTCAGAAATCTCAAAAACCAAAAAAGAAAAGTAGAAAATATTGAGCACAGTTTCTAAGACAAAATTTCGATAATTTTTTTCTGATCAAAAAATACATTACTAATCACTGACAGATTATTGTATCGTTGACAGTTATCAGCAATTTTTGGTCTAAAAATTACTTGGAAATTATTTTTAAAATGCTGAAACAGTAAGATCTTTGATGAGATTTGAAAAGCAGTAGCTGACTAGAGAAGGATTTGGTAACTTCAGTAAACCGGGTAAATCTTTATCTGCAGTTGCTTTAGTTTTCTATAAAGTGCAGAACAAAATTGTTGAATTGAATATATTATTTGTAGACAAAAAATTGAGGTAATTATATAACAAAAACATTTCTTTGCTTATTTGCAACTATGCAGTAATTTCTTTTTCCACAATTAATTACCAGTTTTTTTTTTTTGAAATTCTAAAATACTATACTTTCTATAAAGGTTACTCCGTTTAAATCTTTCCCAAAAATGCTGTTAACAGTTTTCTGGAGATGATAAGGCTAAAATTTTTTTTTAAAAGAAATTAAGTTGTTGATCAGAAGTAAGAAACGGTATGCATTATTTGATGTTTTAACGCTAAGACGCCTACTAAACATCGTTTTAGTTAATTGGGTAAAAACAGATTTAACTTCCATTTTTTGAATGCATATAAAACCTGATACTTTTTTTTTTTTTACTAGTAAATCAGATAAATATTTATTTGACTTTATCTATGAAGAGAACTTATTGGTAACGAATGCAGAAGAAAGGACTTTGTAGAGGTGGAGTAAGAAGACATAGATGATAAGATTTAAACTCTTAAAATATTCATTGTCAGTAAGTTTCAATTATTTACTTTCTTCTTAATTTTTTTTTACCATAAATTTGTTTTATTCATTTGACATTTTATAGTATGTAATTTGTAATACGCAAAAAAATTTGTGATGATAAAAATTTTTTTGCTGATTGTATTTATTGTCGCGGAAGAGTCAAATTGATCAGCTAAACTGTTTACACTCAACGCTGATACAGAACAGCTCCCCGCTGTTACTTATGGTTTCCCTTACAGCAGCAGTTAAATTTATCAATTCAATTAATTAGTTATGTTTTTATGCAGTTATGTTTTTTTTCTCCCCTCCCCCCCCCCTTGATTGCATATTTATTTTCTTAATTTATTAATAAAACTTTAATAATTTTTTAAAATAATTTTAATCAACTATAATTTTTTTATTATATATCCCAATTTAATAGCAAAAAAAAAAAGTAGAAAAATAAACGTAAATAAAAAACCAAAAAAATAACCTGTTACAGAACCTTTGATAAAATGTTATTTTAATTTTCTAGAATTATAATTTTTCAGTAGTTATATTATTTTTTGATTTTGTTACAAAATATGGATTTCAACACAATTCTACTGTATCGTTTACGAAACTATAGTTAATTGTTAGCAATAACAGCAAATAATGACATGTTGGATGTAAAATTGAGAAGTGACAGAATTCTGTTTTTATGTAACAAAAGTTATTTGTTCTATAAATTTTTAGCTTTGTTTTTAGTTCAAATAATGGCCAAACTTTTGAGTGTTGTAATCGTATGGTTGGTAGGAAGCACTGTCTATGGGGAAAAGCCAAGACTTGACTGTCATCCAGATCCAAGTGCTTCAGAAGAAAAGTGCTCTGCAAGGGGATGTATATGGGACAATTCTTCTGAGGTCGTTATTTTTGTCTTGTAAATTCATGCATTTTTCAATGTAAAGTTAATTGAAACTAAATTTTTCCATTCCGAAATGTTATGAAAATAAAAAATTTTAGAAAATTAGCGAAACAGTATTTTAAATTTTAGACTGCAATACAAAAAACGGTTAGTTACAACTGCATAATTGCTGATGAATTAGTAGGTGATTTAGGTTGTTATCAGCGGTAAATGATGTCATAAAGAGTCTATTGTATTCCTATAAAATGAATTAATCTTTGCAGATTATTAGCACTTAAAACTTGCCGATGATTAAGCTTTTTTTTTTAACGAGCATTATCAACACTAAAGAACTGATCTAATTAATTTTTATTTTTTTTTGCTAAACCAACTTATGAATGACATATAATTCTTGTAAAAATAAAATAAAAAAGAAAGAAAATTTTTTTTGAATGCAACGTTGAAAAGAATTTGTCAAAAACATCTGTCTTTAAAAAAAAAAATTTATACAGAAAACTTTGTAAATTAGCAACTTTTATTTCTGCCTTCTACTCAGCTTTAAAGTTTACACTTCTATTTGGTATCAAAACTAATTAATTGTCAATAAATAGTCGTCAAATACCAAATAATAATAAAATCATATACTTTTTTTTTTTTTATAACAAGCAGAAATTTTAATCATAGTACATAACAAACAATTTTAAATTACTTTATTTTCTCTATTTTTGTTGTTGAAAGAACTAAAATTGTTTCGATATCTTAATCATTTTTTAAATTCAAATATAACAAAGAATTATTCTTTGCAAAGACTAACCAAAGATTAACTTTTATTTGGTGCAGTAAGATGAAATAAGAAATTCTAGCAATAAACTTGTCTTAAAATCTTTTTGAAAATTATACAAAACATAAATGATATAAAATTTAGCAGAAAAATAAATTTTTGGAAACAAATATACTATTTTAGGTCATTGGCGCTCCCTTCTGCCTTCTTCCACCAAATACTGGCTATAATTACAGTAACTTTGCGGATGGAGTTTATGTGATATCAAATTCAGGAGGTGCTCTAAATTGGAGTAGGCTTGGAAACCCAATTGAATCACTGAAAGTAGGAAATAAAACAAATAAATCGGCGCTGAATATCAGAATTGAAGGCGACAAAAGTCGGTCAGTTGACTGTCATTTTCAATAGCAACATTTATTTTAAAGCTTTCTAAACAGCCAGGTATCTGTTAAGATAAGCTGAGAAAAGTGTAATCAAAATGTAAATTCGATAAAGAAACAAAAGTAAAATTGATTTTTGATATAAATCATTTTAAGGTACGAGCCACCAGTGAATTTGCCAAAGGAAGAAGTAGATTCTAAAGATCATCTCAATTTTGAGGTGACTAGCGAACTGCATTCGTTGTTTACTTTCAAAATTAGCAGAAACAGCACAGGAACAGTCATTTGGGACACCAGTATCGGTTGGACTTTCAGATTTTTTTTTTGCCATTTTTTAACAGAATTATTGTTCAACACATTTGCTAAAAATAAAAAATTTGTGAAGTAGTTTTTTATTATTGTCGACAGTTTTTCTACAACTTTTTAAATGTCTTTCTGCTACAAAAATACTACTTTCTCAGGTGGTCTGCTGTATTACGACCAATACATTCAGATTGCCACCCTGCTGCCATCAGAAAATGTTTTTGGTTTTGGTGAACATCTCCGATTAAACTTAAGGGTAATTTACTTATTAACAGTCACTTACTTATTATACAGTTTAAGTACATTTAGATGTACGCTTAATTCCAATTCTTTAATTTTTATTTTTTAACTAATTCAGCACAATCTTAGTCGGTATACAACCTGGCCGATGTTTGCTCGAGACGATGGACCATTTTTTGGAGAATCTGATTTTGTTACAAAAAACTTTTATGGTGTTCATCCGTTTTATTTGTGTATTGAAAAAGACGGAAATGCGCATGGTGTATTATTTCTGAATAGTAACGCCCAGGTAGAAGAAGTTATCAAAAGTTAAGAATTCCCTTAAAACTTATTCAAAAACTTTGGCATAAAGATTAATTTTATAAAAAAGATTATTAAGGAAAGAAAAGCAATTATACTTTTGTTGTAGGAAGTAACACTTGGGCCTGAACCATCGCTTGTTTATCGTACTATTGGAGGAATACTAGACATAACTTTCTTTCCTGGGCCAACACCTGATCAAGTTATTCAACAGTATTTGACCTACATTGGCAAGCCAGTAATGCCAGCCTACTGGGGTTTAGGTTTCCAGGTATTTTTCAAAGAAAACGTAAACTAATTTTTACAAATCATAAAAATTTCAATATAAGAGGTAGTAAAATCACATACAATAATATTAATGAGAAAAAATAACTCAGTGAGCTCGAAAAACTTAGTCAAATCTCATTACTCTTCTGAAACAGGTTTGTAAGATATGCAGTACTGCTTCTAAACGGCAGGAGCTGCAGCGGAGTTTATCTGTCTCTACAGTAGCTTAATTTGAGTTGATTCAAGGCTCTATTAAAATTACTGTAAAAGGGTTAATCTCTCTTTTGGCGAAATAACGTAGCTTGTCTTCTAGACTAAGGAGCTGTCCTATGTCGAATTCTGTATGGTCCAGGTTTCTGCTATGTCTTATACTCTCTACTAATTTAATGCAGACGAATAGACAGATATAAAATGAGCTTCATTAAAATTGTAAAAAGAAGAAAACAATATAGATTATAAATTTTATCAGTTTACTTAAAGCACTGTCAATATTTATAAAATTATCAAGAATCTACTGAGAGTACCGAAGGATAAGGCAGGTTGAAAGAAAGAATCAGGAAAGGAGAAATTTAGTTTGATTTTAAAGAGGAGTTTGTAACATAGAATTGGAATTTATTGACCTGTATAGATTCCACGTCGAGCAAAATACAGAGAAGCAGAATAGAGAAGCACGTGAAGCACTTCATATCCGACAGAAATAAGCTAATTTAGGATACAGAGATAGTTGAACATTTTAATAGTCAACAGAGAACATGTTAAGCTTAACCGCTCCAAAATGATTAGACTTACGACAATGACACAGTTGCAAATCATCACAGCAGTTGATAAAAGATCCCCTTTCAAGTCGATTTGGCTCTTTGGCCTTCCAAAAAAGAACCAACTCCTTGTTTTACCAAAACGAATAAAAAGAAGAGTACAAAGTTACAATCATTGTTGGACATCGGAAATGCTTCGTTTAGTTACTGCGTGAATAAGACTATTTGTGTTTCTAAATTTGAAAACTGTGGCAAAAATTTTTACTTTGCTATCAAGTTTTCTTTTTTTCATTAGGTTTGAGTGAAAACATCGACTAAAGTTTTTAGGCTACAACAGCCGCGACTTGATTAAATTTGTTGTTTTTAAATATAATAAGTGAGAAATGAGCTTTGTTAAGGGAAGTACAGGAAACTTTTTAACCTAACGTTTAAATACATTTTTCTTCTCTACAACTAAATTTCTTTTAGTTGAGCCGTTGGGGTTATGAAACGTTAGATGACATGAAGGAGGCGATAGAAAGAACCCAGAACGCAAGTATTCCGTTGGATGTAATGTATTCAGACATTGATTATATGGATCGTTACAAAGATTTTACCGAAGTATGTCTTATATAAAAATAAAGTCACAAAAATCGTATAATTAAAAGTGATAAAGCTGACTCAAAAAAAAATTAAAACTGTATTGTTTTGATGTTTTTTAAACAAATATTTATAAATTCTCTACTGTATCGCAAAAGAATGTTATTATTTGCAAATTTAAAAGGTTGTACTTCTTTCTGTTACTAATGTAGCTCCTCTTTCACAAATCACTTTTATACATAAGCCTGTTTTGATTTAAAATTTAATCCCCAACTTCTCCTAATTAATCAATCGGAAACAGCAAATTTTGACAAAATTTACGTGAAGTTGTTATACGGTTCACAATGCTAAGCTGTACACAATATTTTTTTAAAGAATCCAACCTGGACAGGTTTCGACGATTATGTTAGCGAAATGCGGAAAAATGGAGTACATACTGTAGTAATATTCGATGCAGGAATTGAAGCCGATTACAAAAGCTTTGAAACCGCGCAGAA